GTAGGCAAAGATGACTGCCAAAGAGTTTGAGGAGCTTGCCCTCAATGGCCACAATTACCCTACATGGGCTATGGACATCAAGATCAGTCTTGCATCCCGTGGGATAGCGCGTGCAATACAACCCCGGGAGACTCCTCCCCCGGCTGGGGCCACGCCGCTAACAGAACAACAGAACTATGTTGCCTTATTCATCATAAGGCACCATATTCATCCAGATCTCAAGTCTGAGTATTTACAGGAGGAATCTCCTAGTACTCTATTTCTGGCCCTCAAAACGACGTATGAACAGCAGAAGGCAGTAGTCGTGCCAAAAGAACTCCATGATTGGACTCATCTCTGTCTTCAGGATTTCAAGTCCATCAGTGAGTACAATCATGTTGTTCATAAGATATGTTCCAAACCGCATTTTTGTGAGAAGGAACCTACTGAGGGGGGGAGATAGAGAAAACTTTGTCTACTATGCTCCCTTCAGATAGGATCCTCCAACAGCAATACCGTGCTCGTAACTACACTGTCTATTCCGAGCTTATTCACATGTTACTTCAGGCTGAAAAGCATGATGAGATACTCGCTAAGAATGGCTCTCAGCGCCTAGTTGGGGCACAACCTTTACCTGAAGTTCATCTGAATGTTGCAAATAGACAAAAGTTTAATGGTACCTCTCGGGGTAAACAATCCAATTTCGAGCATAACCGAAAGTGCAATGGGAACAGGAGATCTAGACACCTAGGCAAGGGAAAAGGCACTTCAAAGCCCAGGTTTGATAAATCTAAGCTTTGCAGCAAGTGTGGATGCTACACGCATTCTACTGAAAAGTGCACAATGCCCAAGCATCTGGTTATGCTGTACCAGCAATCTCAGGGACGCAAAGCACCTCAAGGGAAAAGGTTTGAAGCCAACTTCAACCTTCATTTGGATAGCGCAAAAGGAGTTGGTGGTTCGCACGATGTTCCTCCTGGACCGATCAACGCCATGATTCCTTATCTGCCTGAGGATACTACTGAAACAGAGAACGCGTTGATTGAGTACACCACAAACAACGTGTTTGGCGAATTTGACTAGTCCCTCAATCTCCTAGTGATCTACTTAATTATGTCCATTTGTGATGATTGTAATAAGAACATAAGTTTGTTGTTGTCTTTATATTGTATTGTATCAGCACATTTGATATAATAAAGATTGTATTCTATGTATTAACATGAGGTTTTCTTATTGAAAATTCTTTTGTTTTATATAGTTTTCCACAGGGACAATTCGATGGAAGAGGAATTATGCCTTGTGGACAGTGGTACCACAAACTCCATACCGAGGGAGATGAAATATTTCCAAACTCTGAAAAAGATAAATGGAGATATTCTAACTATCACTGGACGCGATACAATGATTGTTGGTACTGGACGTGCCATATTCACCCTCCCTAGCGGTACACAAATGACGATTGAGGATGCTTTATTGTATCCGCCTCATCATGTACCCTGATCAATTATCGAGATATCCGTAAGAATGGTTTTCACATTGAAACACATGAAGACAACAAAGAAGAGTATCTACTCTTTACTAAAGATCACGGATATGGCAAAAAGGTACATGAGAAAATTCCTTCTCTATCGTCTGGTTTGTACTATACGTACATCAAACCCGTGGAACATGCTGCATACAAAGTAATTTTTCAGAATGTTAACGCATTCCAAACCTGTGATCTCCTAGGCCACCCTAGAATAGGGATAATGAGAAAAAATTACTAGCAATTCCATTGGTCATAATTTGCTCGAGTCAAAATTTCCTCAATCTTCTGATTTTGTGTGCACATCTTGTGCCACGAGAAAGCTAATTTTGAGGACCTCACACCTCAAAATACAAGTTGAACCACTTCAGTTCCTTGAACGTATTCAAGGAGACATTTGTGGTCCTATTCAGCCATTGTCTGGACCTTTCCGGTATTTCATGGTTCTGATTGACGCATCTACACGATGGTCACATGTGTGTCTTCTATCCACACGAAACCATGCATTTGCCAAGATAATGAGGCAAGTCATTAAGTTGCAAGCCCATTATCCTGAAAGTCGAATTGAGTTAATTTGAATGGACAATGCTGCAGAATTCTCCCCGCGTGCTTTCAATGATTATTGCATGGCTTTGGGGATTGAAGTTCAGCACTCTGTTCCATATGTCCATACACAAAATGGTTTGGCTCAAGCATTGATTAAGAGGATCAAACTCATTGCAAGACCTTTGTTGACGAATTGCAACTTGCCAACCTCTTGTTGGGGTCACGCTGTTTCACACGTTGCTGACTTGATACAATTGAGGCCAACTGCATATCACAGTTCTTCCCCTCTGGAATTGGTACGTGGAAATCCTCCAAGCATTTCCCATCTGCGTAAGTTCGGATGTGCTGCATACATCCCGATCTCACCACCACAACAGACATCTATGGGCCCACACAGGAAGTTGGGGATCTATGTGGGGTACAAATCGCCGTCGATTATCAAGTACCTGGAACCCCTGACTGGGGATCTGTTCACAGCCCGTCACGCTGATTGCATATTTAATGAGGAACATTTTTTGGCATTAGGGGGAGATTTCAAGTGCCAGAAATAATGCCCGGAAATTGATTGGAATGCTCATGCCATTTCATCCTCTGATCCGCGTACCCATGAGACTGAACTTCAAGTTCAGAAGATCGTTAATTTGCAACATCTTGCAAATAATCTGCCAGATTAATTTACTGATCTGAAAGGTGTTACAAAATCCTTAAATCCTGCCAGAAACACGCCAGAAAGAGTGGAGATACCAATAAAAACCACTCAACTCCCTATTCCTAAAAAGAGGGGGAGTAGTACGGCCTCTGACCTGGAGCATGCTTCTAGCAAGCAGCAAAGAAAATCGAGGAGAAAAACCTCAGAGTCAGTAAATGCAGGTCAACTCAACGTTGACAAACACCTGATGGGTAGTATACACCCAGTGGAAGGGAAACCTCCACAACCCAGTTCCAGTGTGCCCAAACTGACTGGGACATCGAAACACACAGACTCGATCGTATTGGGAAATCACGAAGAGTCACTAGGGGCGCAGGAAATTTCCATCAACTATGTTGATTCTGGAGAATCATTTGACCGTAAGACTACGACCGTCGACATATATTTTGCTGAAAAGATTGCAGATACCCTTCTCACTAATCATGATCCAAGGTCTATAGTTGAGTGCCAAAAGCGCTCCGACTGGCCTAAATGGAAGGATGCAATCCAAGCAGAAATTGCCTCGCTTAACAAAAGAAAGGTATTCACTGAAGCAAAACCTACACCTCCCAGTGTTTTCCCTGTGGGATTCAAATGGGTTTTTTCTTCGGAAACGGAATGAGAACAATGATGTGGTGAGATATAAAGCAAGGCTTGTAGCACAAGGTTTCATGCAGAAACCCGGCATTGATTTCACTGAAACATATTCTCCAGTAATAGTGCAACCACTTTTCGATATCTTATATACTTGGCAGTGCAAAATTGTCTATCTATGCAGTTGATGGACATCGTGACCGCATATCTTTACAGGTCACTAGATTCGGACATATATATGAAGGTTCCTGATGGAATTTCTGTCTCGAATAAAAATGCAAAACGCAACATGTATTGTGTAAAGCTGAATAAGTCATTATATGGCTTAAGGCAGTCAGGGTGGATGTGGTACAACCGACTGAGTGAGTTCCTTCTTCAGAAAGGTTACTTCAATAGTGTTGAATTGCCCATGTGTTTTCATCAAGAAGTCCTCGACAGGATTTTGCATCATCTCTATGTATGTTGATGATCTCAACATCATCGGCAGCACACCAGACATTGATGAAGCAAGCAATCACCTAAAGATGGAATTTGAGATGAAGGATTTGGGTAAAACCAAATTTTGCTTAGGTATTCAACTTGAGCACCTTCCCTCAGGAATCATGGTACACCAATCTGCCTATATCTAGAAAATATTGGAAAAATTCAATATGGACAAATCCTATCCATCTAAAACTCCCATGGTGGTTCGATCTCTAGACGTAGAGAGATATCCGTTCATACCAAGGGATGATGGAGAAGAGGTGTTGGGACCTGAAGTTCCATACCTCAGTGTTGTTGGAGCGCTTATGTATCTTGCAAATTGCACAAGACCTGACATTGCATTTGCAGTGAATCTACTTGCAAGACATAACGCAGCTTCCACAAAACGTCATTGGTCTGGAGTGAAGAATATCTTTTGATGTCTCCAAGGCACAAAGGATCTTGGCCTATTTTCCAGTTCCAGAAAAATCAGGACTCTGATGTGACTGTATATGCAGATGCCAGCTATTTGTCTTATCCCCATAATGCCAGATCTCAGACCGGCTTCGTGTTCCTACATGATGGCACTGCTATATCATGGAAGTCTTCGAAACAGACTCTGGTAGCAACATCTACCAATCATTTTAAAATAATTTCATTATTTGAAGCAACATGCGAATGTGTATGGCTTCGTAGAATGATAAACCACATACAACAGTCATGTGGAATGGGTTCGATAAAATCACCTACCATTATCTATGAAGATAATGCGGCCTGTGTTGTGCAGATGCAAATAGGATACATCAAAAGTAATAGCACCAAGCATATTTCTCCTAAATGTTTTTCCCCCACAATCTTCAGAAAAGCGGGGAAATAAGCATTGTGCAAGTCAAATCATGTGACAACCTTGCTGATTTATTTACCAAGTCCCTACCAAATTCTACATTCCAGAAATGTGTTCATGGAATTGGTATGCGAAGACTTAGGGACTTGCAGGTGTCAGGGGGAGTCTCTTCTTGAGATACCTTTATTTTAATGACATCACATTATGCTATCTTTCTTTGTGAGTATATATTTCAGGATCTCATCAAAGATTTTATGAAGAACTTTTGGAGGAGAATCCTTCTGAGATGATAGAGCATCCCGGATAATTGTGAAGATGATTCTACATGGTCAAGTGTAGATTAGGGGAAGTGTTAGAATAAATTACAATTTGTAATTAGGGGAAAATCTTCCCTTGCCCAAACTGTCGTGCGGTTTGTCCCGCACAGACGCCTTCTCGCTCCTGCCCTCTGGAACCGACGCCTCCCTTCGATCGCGTCTCTCCAGATGGTATAAGTAGCGCCTATAACCATCAATCAAGACAGAGATTTCACTTTCGATCTCAAACAGTTTCCAAAATGACATGGGTCTGCACACCGTGTCATGGCCATGCTGCCTTTTCTCTAAAAAAGAAAATTTACACGACTCCTTTCGACTCAAGTAGTACTAGGATTTATGGAACATGTTTCATTCCATTGTTGTGGTTTGCGACTAGACAATGATCAGCAACCAAAAGAGTACCAGAGTGTCCCGTGGGGATGAGTTTTATGTTGGTCAATCATTCAAGGATCTACTTTGTAAGAGTGCCACATTACTACCTTGTATCGTTTGACCGTGTACTTTGGTATTTGCTTTATCTGTAAAGCGGGCAATATCCTGTTTCATGGGATGACAGTAGGCAGGCCTGAGTGCAGAACGCTGCTTATGAGTATATTCTTGTCACGTGCAGTCTTCAGCATACAGATTGCCCTTCAGAAAGATTGATAACATGACCGAATACCATTCCTCAAAAGAATGCCACACCACAACAACGTGAGATTACATTCCTTAAAAGGAGTTGCTTAGCTATCACAGAAAGCAAACTATAAACCGAAGAGATCAATCTGTACATGAATTCCTTGATGGCTTAGTGATAAACCTCTGGTGTACAACAGGTGTTCTGATCAGCAGGGAAGTAACACTTGCCATACCATTCTTCTGCAGAGAGAATTTCGATACACAAAGAAAATGGTACAGTGAGTTGACTTCCTATCAATCATGAATATGATCCGCCAAATGACATCAACAACCTCAGCTGGCTGCTATCGCGACGAGCGTGACGAACGGTTGGTGCTGCCCTCATTGCGATCCTTTTTCCGCAAACCTTCGAAGCTAAGGAAACACTTGAGAGGTCTGACCTGTTGTTCCAGTATAGCCAGCATGAGAATACACGCTAGAACAATGCATATTTTGCAACGATGGGACTTATCAGACCGCTATTCCATAAGAAACCATAAGCTATTACCTTCCAACGGTTTCTGCGAGCTAGTTCAATTTGGATGGCAGACAACCGATCAATGACAACTCTAAAATTGGGCCTATCAGCAGGATTTTCACTCCAGCATTTCTCAATCAACCTGTAGAAATATAAAGTAGTCAAGCAATCAAGTCAGGGTGTTAGACAAACTAAAGTAACCGCGTAAATGTTATCTGGAGGAAACAGTACAAATTAAGGTTTGCATAACCGTATTGTCAAAATGGATTATGGATTGCTAAAGCATGAAATTGGCAATGCAATCAAGCCATTCTAATGCTGCAACAAATTGGTAATTGCCATAGTAAAGCAAAAAAAGGAGGGAGAATCTTACTCTCTTAGCCCGTAGGCATAATGCTTTGCAGGAGCTCTAAACGGTGGCCTTTCTTTAGAACTATGGGCCTTCTCAATTTCATCAATTTTCTTATCGTGAAAAGGCAGGCATCCTTCAATCATCTGAAAGAGTTCAAATATTAGTAAAAGTACGGTGATCTAGAAGGATCTGGGAGTAGTTGGAGCAGAATTGAATATTACTTTCCAAATTATCTATCAAACAAACTTTCTGACTGTTCTATGTTCTAACTGAGACTACACAAAAATGTGGATTAGAAGCTGATCATCTAGTATGGCATAGAAATATACAATGCTATATAGCAAAAAATATATATACCTCCTGAAGTATCAAAGCGAATGAGAAGACATCAACTTTATTATCATACTCCTCTTTACGCAGGACTTCTGGAGCTACATACCTACCTATGACATATTCATGAATGATCAGTAACAGAAGGTGAATAAATTTGCAATAGCAGTGAGCTGCATACCAGTTTGGAACAAATTAGGATGGAAAATAAGAAGTTAATAAGCTTACAGGCATTGCCAGGAGAAGTAACTGGTTTGTCCTCTCTGACTTTTCTTCTCCACTTTAGCATCTTACACAAATCAAAATCTGCCACCTTCAGATGCCCAGTGTCATCCCTCAATATGTTTCTATTTTGTTACACAAGGGCCAGAAAAGAATTCAACAAATTAGGCATCTGAAGCAACTGATGAGGTACATACAGAAGACTCCAAATTTATGGATGTTTTTTGAGATAAAGCACTCACGAAGGCTCAAGGTCACGGTGGATGATAGCTTGGGGTTTATGCTCATGTAAGTAACTCATTCCTCTGTTACATATGAACAAAGATCCACGAGTTAGGCATATTTATAACTTATAACAACAGAAAAAACATCAATAATAGAGTCCCTGTGATTTGGGGAATATGGTGGGTAGCAAACCTTGCAATATCAAGAGCTAATTTAACTGCATACAAAGGTTCCAGAGCTCCTTTCCTATTCAAGTGTTTGCGCAAATCACCCTGAAAATAAACATTGCCACATTGATAATCTATAAAATAAAGTGATATATTTTGATAGTCAACTGAAGGCCTGATTATGTTGCAGAAATAATGATGCAAAGTTAAGAAACATAAGAATTTATGCAGTGTTGAAATCATACAGCACGTAGCTAGGAAGAAATCATATCTGCAGTGATCTAATGTGATACCAATAAAAATGGCCAAATGACATCATACGGACCAGTAACTCATTTGTACTGTCAGTTAACTATGACAGCAGCACTCCTTCACTCACTAGAAAATAACCAAATACTAGTTCAAAAGGAAGCCATGAGTCTAGACCTAGAAAAGTTTGACTAGGGACTCAGATATCAAAATAATATGAGCCTGGAAAGAACATCAACCCAAGACAAACCTTCGGCATAAATTCCATGACAATCATCATTGGGTTGGTTTGTGTTACAGCGCCCAGAAATTGAACGACATTTGGATGCCGTATTAGTTGCAGAACGTCAAGCTCATCTCTGAATGCTTGTCTGCAATGCAAAGATATCCATCGGAACTGTAAGGAAAGTACCAACTTGGGCAGCCTGAGCAACACCTAAGTGAAAGAATGCCAACGCAAATCAGGAAGGAAGGTAAACTATTGAGTGGAATCAACCCACACTTTGTTCTCGTCAGTAAGTACATCATCATCCAGCTTTTTAACAGCAACCAGAATGCCCCTCCATGTTGCTTTCCGAAATGTACCCTGAGAAGTAAATTAAATTATAAGAAAGAAGCAAGACATGATTTAAATATTAGTAGCATTCAATTTAAAAACTCCATGTCTAGACTAATTATTAGAGTAATCATGACTGCTAGTTAACAAATACCTTAGCTAAATCTTTGCCATTTGTGAAGTCAAGTTCGTCCGGATCAATCTCGTATTCAGGAACATCACGATCACTGTTAACATGCATAGGAGCAACCTTCAAAAAAGGAAGTGGATATTTATTAGTAATAATGCTCGAACCCTCGAACATGCCAAGTTAAATAAAAATACAGCATAGTACCTTATGGTTCGAGTCATGCTTCTCCAAGATCTTGATAACATCATGGTTCTGGTAATGCATCGCATCTGCCAAAGGCTGCCCAATAGTAGTGCAGCACACAATTAACTCAAGTGAAAGCATATACCTATATATAGTTCCTAACAGCAAGTATTATATGTACTCCCTCCGTTCACTATTATAAGATGTTCTAACCTTTTTCTGAATCGGATATAAATAGACACATTGCATATCACTCGTCAGTCCGTATGTTGTCCATATTAAAATATCCGAAACATCTTATACTCCCCCGCCCAAAATAAGTGTCTCAACTTTAGTACAATAATTTGAAGGGAAAAAAACTCTTGACCAGCGACTGGGAAGTATGGCAATTGCAAATGATTTGCATCCCAATTTATGTTGCCGGGATGGTAAGTTTGGTTGACAAGAATGGCAAATACGCCTCAGTTCATTTTTTATTTATTTTTGGCAGGTTTTGCCGTGCTTGCAAGCTAAAATTGACGTCCTCATGACAATATAAATTGCCATAAAAAACGTTCGATTTGCCATCCCCTCCCAAGCGAAAGTCAGCTGAATAGCATTACCCAAAAAATACTTACGGTATTAAAAAACAGAAATTCAGCACTTAACGAACAAAAACATGCTCTAATGATTCACAGCGCTTTCCCACTAAATCGGAATCCCCATCGAAAACTGATGAGGTTCTCAAGAAAGCAGAACAAATGGAGCAACACGGAGGCGAAAGTCCAAAGCAGGCTCACCGTGCTTCCCCACTGGTCCTCGACGACGGCCTCCGCGCCGCGGTCGAGCAGCAGAGCGACGACCTCGGCGTGGCCCTCGCAGGCGGAGATATGCAGCGCCGTGCGGCCGTCGGAGTCGCGGAAGTTGGGGTCGGCGCCGGCGTCGAGGAGCTCGCGTATCCCCTCCGCGTTGCCCTCGTGGGCCAGGTACATCATCTGGAAGCTGGCGACGCCGGCGGCCTCCCCCGACACCTCGGCGCCGTTTTCACCGCCGCGGCTGGGCGCCAGGGACGACTGCTTCCCGAGCCTGAACCGAGGGGTCGTCGGCCCCGCCGCCGCCTCCTCCTCCGAGGACGTGGGCGGCTTGGGCTCCATCGTCGGCGCTGGTGGGAGATCCGATCGGAGACTTGTGGAAGAGGAATTGAATAGAGCCGAGGAGGGTCCGTCCGTCGGTCCGAGGGAGTAATCGAGCGAGGGGGTTTGGGAGGGGAAGTTGAGAACTTGGATGGGAAAAAGATGGCTGGGTGGCGGCTGAGTTGGCAACAGGTCCACCAACTAATAACTGTCCCTTGTGGTATGAAACGGTGGCGGCGAGTACGGTCGGTCGCGGCACCCCGCGGATTGAGTTGGTGACAGCTGATCCCGCGGAAGTAGGGCCTTGCCAATGCTTGCAAGCTTGGTTCTAGGCCGTGCCAATTTCAGAGGGTGGTCGTATCGTGTACGCAGGCACGCACGGTTGCTCCTTGCTCATGCAGCTCCTAGTAAGAACATCTACAGCTCCTAGCCAGAATTTTGTTTTTCTTTGTACACCATGCAAATCACAATATTTTCAACGATTTTTTACACGTTTGTGCGGAAAAACATATAAGTATTCCTGGCATTTTTTTCCAAAAATGAAACTTTTAAATATGGTTTTGATTTGGCTCCATGAAGCCCGCCCTCCAAAAATTAACACTCACCCACCAGACCCTACTTTCTTCCTAAAAGTCTTGACTAACCAGCACCCCTCAAATCAAGACCACATCTGAGGGCAATATGAGGAGTTGCGAGCGTGCCCGGGCAAGGCTCCACGTCAGCTGCAGGGACCGACGACCCCACCCGCAACCACTTCGATGAGAAGACTGCGATGGCAACGACACCCATCCGGCTCGCGTCAAGGAGGAAGGCCGCCCGCTCGCTTGCATCGAGGAGGAAGGCCGGCGGAGCTCTCGCGCGCCAAGGTTATTGTGTCCCTTGGGGATTGTTGTGCTCGTGATGGCCGCCGCCTTCGGCCATCGAGCTCCGCGCAATCGAGCATGCTTGCGTGCTTGCATGCTCCCGCTGGCTAGAGCTCATGTCCGCGCTGCCGTGCATGCTTGCATGCTCGCGCTGCACCTGAAAGGCGTTGTGCATCTTGCCACTGCATGCGTCCGTGCTAGAGTGTGCATGTGGTGTCGCTGCTTGTGTGCTCTGGCCGTCCAGCGACACCACACATAAGTTGTTTGATGATATGATCAAAGTAGGGAGGACGATATTAAGGAGTGTGACTGTGCTCATAGGAAAATGAGGGATCACGGGAGACGCGCTTGGGCACTGACCGGGCGCGTCCGCCGACATTTGAAGGTCCATATTTGTCCATCCAGGTTGTAGATGCTCTAGCGGTGTTTTATGACACACTCAATTGAACAATCCTTGTCTCTCCTAGATATCTCCTCCCTCTAGATCTCTATCTCCTTTCGCCAGCAAGGCTGGTGTTTTCCCTCTACTCCTGCTACTCTAGTAGTGGAAGGTGTGGAACTATGGTTTTGCATGTCCGACACTTAGTTAGGTTAGCCTTTTGGTTTCGTGGTGCGTTGTTAAAATGACGGTGATAGTGTTGTCTTGAATAATGGTACCTCGTCTTCAACCCCGTCTCGGCGTCGAGGATCCAGTGGGTTGGTATCGTCATCGGGCATGTGCTCCAGCGCTATGTTGTTTTGTTTTGGTCGTCGGCTTGTTGTCAGCAACCATGTCTTGTGTGCAGGTTGCTTCAACCCGCGGGCGGTCGCAGGTCGGGTCATCTATTCTCACCGGTGATAGTAACCCGACCATTTGGACACATCCAGGCGTGGCCCCTTCCCAATTCATCTTCTTCCCCAGATCGCATTTGTATGCGGTATGTGGTTACTACAATAACATTAATGAGTATCCCTCCATAGGCATGTGAGGGCGACACAACCTGCTACTCATATCGTCTTCATTCTCTACTCCAACAATGAAACAATTATCAAGCAAGCAACGACAAATTTAGCCTAGAAGAATTTTCTTGAGGGCTTGGATGTATTTTTATTTTTCCATAGGGTCTTTTCTATAGAAGTGGGGAGAACTATCTTACATCTTATATTTCCCATGTACCCGTTTTACTTAATTAATACATAATTTATATATTACTGTAGAAAAACAAAAT